GAAAAAATTCCTGAGATTCAAAAAAAAGACAAACCTTGATTCCATAGCGCGGCAGTTCGTGCGCATATGCGGAACACACGATCACATCACCCTCAATTCTTGAGTAGGCAATCTGTAAAACACCTTACACTGCTGACGAAAAAGATATTACATCCAGTTTTCCAAAAACTATTGCATTTTTAATTACCCCTTTAAATTATACAAGAATTCGAGGTCAAACTTTCTAAGATAAAAAGATCAAGACAAAATCTTAAGTGTGTGTGCGTGTGTGCATGTATGTGTGTGTGTATATATACATATACAGTGCCTACAGTGATGTCTGAGAAAGCTCTTCTCATGGAATAAGCACAAATCGGATTAAAAACATGACAGGTAACCTAATGCAACAAAAGAATAATAGTTTCCACTTACGCCTAGGTCTCACATAAAGGAAAATTTTGGCTGGAAAAATCACTTATTCGAGAGCCAGAAAAGCTGTAAAACTCAAATTTTGGGAAAATTTTCTACATTCTTATTTAATCCAAATATTTTAAATTCAGCTTTCACGATTTCGACTTTTGAATGGGACGCAGCTTCGTAAACAGCGAAGAGGAAGGAGCGGGGAGAAAAGGGAAGGGCAAACAAGGGGGAGGGGGCAATTCTAGCTTAGCCGAGCTGAGCTTGTGTTGCCTCATTTAGAGACGCGCTGATCTTCTTATTTAGGACAAATGCTCGTTATGGGTGTGTTAAGCTCAATGATGCAAACGAACTTAGAAATGTTCGACGTTTAAAGGTTTCAATGGGATCTAACCTAAGGAGGAGTACACCGATTCGTGACGGGGAAAACTACAGGGAGTAGACTGTGGAGATCAATTCCTACGATGATAAACCAGGTTCCACTAGGGTCCTTTATCTTTCTCTTATAACTAGAGAAACCGGTTTAGCATTCTTCCAGATTACAATGTGTTCGGTCCTTTGCCGTGTTCTACATATACCGAGGACACCTCATGGTGTTCCATCGATTCATTGGAGAAAATGGTTTGTGAGTTCATCCCTTGACAACAACTTACATATGTGTAAGTGTACATCGATCTGCATATGGATACATTATCAGCTACTTGTATAGCTGGCATCAGTTCGTATCATCCAAGTTTAGCAGGATGAAAGTGATGTAGGTGATAGCATTCGTTAATCACCCGAGATTCT